GAAATTCCAAGCTCTCCTGTCTGAGATCCTAACCTGCACTGCTCCAAGCTCCTGGTGGGCACGTGGATCCCTCCTGGGAGAGAAGAGGCTCATGGAGCTCTGATTCCAGGCACAGGCCCTGGAATTGCTGCTCCCTCAGATCCAAGGGGTCACTGGGTGTGTGTTTTCAGGGCTCTGTCCTGGCTTGAGTCATCCCAGGGTGTCCAGGGCCAGGACCTGAGCCAGGACAACTCCAGTATTTCCACATGGTTGGACTAAGTGCGCTGGAAGAAGCACTTCCCTGGATTTTTCTCCTGATTGCACAGGGACTGTGGCAGTGACAGCCTCATAGGTGCCATCCCAGCAGGGTTTGGCCTTTCTTGGGGATTTCTGCTGCTCCTCTCCCACATCTCCCTCCAAGCCATCCTTCCCCAGCAGTGCCAGGCGGTTTCTCCCTTCCCCCAGGCCCAGATGGATCTGCTGCTCCAGCCCAGATGGGATCCCATCTGGGGATCAGTTTTGATATTTTCCCCTGATTTCCTGCCCATAGTAGGAATAATTGATCCAAAACTCCATCGTGGCTGGGCCCAGGTGTGATTCCTGGATGTCCTGGAGACAAGGAGCTGCTCTCCCTGTGTGTGATGTGCTAATAATCCTCAGGGATTGTGTTTGGCATTTTCAATATGAAAACTCTGGTGGTAATTATCTTGAGCAGAGGAAAACTAATGTAAGGATGTTGGTACTCTAGTGGATCAGAGTGTTCCAGCTGGAAAAGTGGACAAGGAGGAACTCCAGGAAGGGAAAGATGTGGGAGTGGCATGAGGACATGGGCAGAAACGTGAATGGTTCCAGGTGGAAAGGCCCTGGGGAGCTGCTGGAGCCTCCAGGATGAATACATGATGGATAAAGAGGGAAAATTATGCTGGGAGTGGAGATGGAATGGTGCTGCATGAGCCATTGGTCATGGAGTTATTTATCCACAGGGAAGAGTTGTCCAGGGGGGAATCTGGGGAGGAGAGAGTGGAAGGGATGGGACTGTAAGGGACATTGGGACCCACATGGCACCTCCAAAAAGCACCAAGCATTGCTGAGCTGATCCAGGAGCCAATTCCTTACTGAGCAGGACGTGA